AGCCGCGATCGGGGCAGTGGCAGGAGCCGCATTTGCGATAACCAAGAAAATGAAAGAGAAATGATCTTATACCGCGGCGAGGCCTGCCTAATTTTTATAATTTTGCCTATTTAAATATGTAATTTTTTTGTTTACAGAAAAAGATTCTAATTATTCTATCATAAGCAATTTTAAAATAATAATGTATTGATTACTGATTGATGATTTAATATCTTCTTTGAAACTATATTATGTTTCCACTTTTATTACAAGCAATATGTATCGTAAAACTAATCACAAATATAATTTTTTTTTTATAATCGAAAAGTTCATCATAATTTTATCCCAACTACATTTCTCAAAGAAACAGAGAAGTGTAGATAAATACTTCTCTTCACACTTACATTTAAACCCATAATAAAATCATATTTTGCATATATTTTTTTTTTTAACCATTAAGCCAATCCAAATTTGGGTCAATCACAAATATATTTATATGACGTGTATGAAACAAACATTGAAAGACGTCTACATCATGATTTATATATTAGAGTATTACGGTTTATTCCCTTATACAATTAGTTGAAGGACAGTTAGGAGTTTAACATTGTATATAAACACATGTATGTAACAATTCACTTATTGAAATATATAGAAAATTTTCCCTAACTTCTCTCTCATATAATAGAGCTGAATAATCAAAACAATTTAGTAAAATATTCCTTTTGCTTGTTAGATAGCATGTATGTCTGTCTGTTGCTAGGTCTTTTGCGCAAGGGTTGGGATTTTTGTACTCTGCAATTCTAAACAAGCAGTCTCACAATCACTACAAGAAACATCCGAATTTACGACGGATAAACATAAATAAAATCTGTCGCAATTACAAATTTGCGACAGAAAGTGACGAAATAATTTCCGTCCGTATATCGTTGTCGCAAAAGTTTGTCGGTCATTAATCCGTCGCAAAGTTGCGACGGAAAAAATCTGCGTTTTGCGACGGATTTACGACAGAAAAATCCGTCGCAAATATTTTTTTTTAATTTTTTTTAAAAAATAACAAAATCTGCGTTTTGCGACGGATTTGCGACAGAAAAATCCGCCGCATATAATTTTTTTTTTAATTTAAAAAATAACATATTATACATATATTCACATATACATATATTACACATATGCGCATACATTACACATATACACATAAATTTATATACATATATATACACACATATATATTTATACACATACACATATACATTTACATACACACATATATATACACATACACACACATACATAAACACACATTTATACACATATACATACACATATAAATTTACATACACATACATCTATATGCACATACACATAAACACACATTCATACACATATATACACACATATAAATTTACATACACATACATATATACACATACACATAAACACATACATAAACAAACGTTCATACACATATATATACACATATAAATTTACATACACATACATATATATACACATATACATATACATTACACACATACATAAACACACATTCATACATATTCACACATATACACATACACATACATATATATATTCACATACACATCACATGACACACATACACATTTATATATATACATACACATTCACATACATACACAACACACATACACAAACACACACACATACACATATACATACATAAACACATACACATTCACATACACATATACATACATACATACACACTTACACATACACATACACATATTCACATTCACATATATATACACAATACATACATATACACATATATTCACATATATACATATATACATATCCATATACACGATATATACACATGGCTAGGCGAATTTTGAAGAAAAACAATTTGTTGGAGAAGATTGAGATTTTTTTTCTTGAAATTTCGAAGTCTAGAGGAGAAAGACAGAGTCGCAGCTTTTATTAAGTGTTGCGACGGAAATTTCCATCGCAATCCGTCGTAAAACGAAAAATAAACCTCGAAAATTTGAAAATTTTCATCGGAAATAACGAAAAAAATGAAATTAGGATTTGCGACAGAAATTTCTGTCGTATACTGTCGCAAAACGAAAAATAAACCGCGAAAATTTAAAATTTTTCATCGAAAATAACGAAAAAAAATAAAATTAGGATTTGAAAATTCCAAAAATAAATAACGTAAATTCAAAAATAAATAAAATTAATATATTCGACGGAAATTTCCATCGCAATCTGTTGCAAATTCCGGCAGATATTAAAATTTCTATCGCAAATAATGTTTGTTGTTGCGACGACAACGTTTCCGTCGCAAATTTGCGAAGGAATAAAATTTTTCGCATTCCGATCGCAAAACCGTCGAATTCTGTCGTAATTTGTTTGCGACGGAAAAATTCCGTCTCAAATTCCGTAGCTATATGAAGATTTTCTTATAGTGTGCATCTCTTTTTGGATGAAGTTCGACTTAGTATGTCGTCATCACGTCGAAAGCGATCCAAAAGAACGATGAGATTTAATAATTGAAGTTGTTGAAGCATTTGTTGAAACAAGGTCGATTGGAGAGCCTTATTCATTAAATTGAAAAGTTAAAAAGTAAGCTTCACGTACGTCATCGACTGATTGTATTGTTTCTCACAGCTTCTTCCCCTTTCCCAACCTTTGAAATCCTAGACCTGCCTCTAGCCCGTTACAGCCGATCAGCGAAACCAAATCCACCTAGCTATGCCAATTGAAGGGTTTTTCTAAGATCTCTACAGCGAATCTAATTCCTATGAGATCGATTCTAGGGTTTGCATAGCGGATATAACATAAATTTTTTTATAAACCCTAAAATCATGCATATATGAATCGTAGAAACTTTAGAACACTTATCTCAATCGATCCGAGGTCTGTTTCAATTAGCGTGTTCGTCCGATCACGGAAGGGAGGAAGATTACCTCGCCCTCTACACATATCCAGACGACGGAAAGGATTCCAATGGCTTGGAACTTGTCTGGTAGGACTGAAAAACTCGTTCTCTAATGCACCAGGGTTTTAGGGATCTATATCAGGATTTTTGGACCTCCAAAACCTCTCAACGGGTCTGAGAATTCGTCCTCTATAGCTTAGGAGTCGTGCCCCAAGTATATCTTCCATAAAAACCCTAATTAAATTAAGATAAGGAAATCTTGATGCCTGGACCGATCGGTTCAGCCTCTGGACCGATCGGTCTGGCACTTATTCGGACCGAGCAACCTTTGCTCGTCACCTCTAGATCGATCGGTCCATCCACCTGGACCGGTCAGTTTGGGCAAGCCTAGACCGATCGGTCCAGACCATTGGACCGGTCAGTCTGGCCTCCGTGCCTCCGGGAATTTCTCGTCTTTTCTCGCGCATTTTCTATTTCCTATGTGTGTGATCCTGTAGGCTCATCCGATATAGCAGTATAACCCGAAATCTTCATCTCGGGTATACAAGTCATAGGTGGTCACTAGTAAGACACTGTGACTACCTAGCTCGAATAGAGTTTGTTCGTGATCTTACGAACGTCAGTGATGATTTCGGTTGATGATCCTTTTGTATCACGATATCATATGTCGAACATAAGGTATAGAAAAGCCACCTTATCTGATTCAACTGCTTTCTCGTTCATAGAGTTTGACTGTATGAAATAGACGACGCTCGTCTATAGTGTGGCCATACATTGTACAGTCTCGCTCACACGAGGGGCCCAATGATATCTCTCTCTTTTACGAGAGGTACAATGCCAGAGATATGTCGGGTTTAAGTTGTTCGGCTTAAACATCTTAGCATTTACGTTATACACAGACATAGAATCGGAAGGTTGATCGTTCAAGACATACAATCCATTCACAAGGTAACCATTAACATAATAGATATCGTCTTTGAACATCATCAGGTTCTTATTCTCAATAACAAACCGAAAACCATCCAAATCCAAACAGAAAATAGAAACAATGTTTCTGCTTATAGCAGGCACAAAGTAACAATTACTTAGTTCTATAACTAGTCCAGAAGGTAAAGCTAAATTATAAACGCTGACAACCAATGCATCAACCTTTGCTCCATTCCCGACGCGTAGATCCACTTCACCTCGAGCCAACATCCTACTTCTTCTCAGACCCTGCACATTTTCACAAATGTGTGAGGCACATCCGGTATCCAATACCCAGGATGAAGAAGTGAATACGCTTCAATAACGTAAATACCTGAAGTAGAAGCTTCAATAAGCTTCTTCTTCTTCAGATCTTCCAAGAAGAATTTGCAATTTCTTTTCCAATGACCAATGGCAGAAATGACACTCTCCTTTCTCGGGTTTAGGCTTGGCCTTGTTGGCAACATTTGCCCCACTTGTCTTGCTTTTGGCCTTTCCCTTGGAACGTTTCCGCTTTTTCGAACTCTTCGATATGTCGAGCACGTTCTTTTCGACCTTAAGACTCGTCTCGGCCGTTTTCAACATCCCATGCAGTTCGGTCAAGGTCTTATCCATGCCATGCATATGATAGCTCATAATGAACTGATCATAGCA